GACAGGGTTTCACCATCTTGGCCAGGCTGGTCTTGAACCCCTGACCTCGTGATCCACCTGCCTCGGCCTCCCAAAGTGCTGGAATTACAGGCATGAGCCACCACGCCTGGCCAATTTCAATTTTTTAATAACTATGGGCGTCCAAATTTTCTATTTCATCATGAGTCAGTTTTGATTTGTCAGTTTTAGTCCTCTGGGAAGCAGATGCTGAGATTGAGCTATGAGAACAGAGATTGAGTGGGAGTTTGGGCAATGCCCGTGGAAGACAAAGCAGGCAGAGAGCAGGATTGGGTATAGAAAACCTTGGGACCATGAAACAGATCTGATGCCTGGGAAAGGAAGGGGAAGAGGAAGCAAATGCAGATCTGAAAATGTCTTAGCCAACTCAGTGGGATGCTGTAGAGCAAACACTGCCTCTTAGAGAAATTCCATAATGGGTAGAAATGATCAGGCTCTGGTATCCCCACCATGTTCAATAACTAAAGACTGCCTTGGGAGAGTACTGAAAGCTGCCATGAATCTGGAATGCCATGAATCTGGAATGTGTGATAACTGAAAACTATCAGCTAATTGCACCCTTCTTGGCAAGTTCTTTCCTGAAAGGAAATCAAAGCCATGCATTTCCATGGCTAACACATTTGGTAAATCTGTTTTCCATGGCATTTGTCTATTTCATCCTAAATTTTCTTTCTTTCTTTTTTTTTTTTAAAGATAGAATCTCGCTCTGTTGCCCAGGCTGAAGTGCAGTGGCATCATCTTGGCCCACTGCAACCTCCGTCTCCCTAGCTCAAGCAATACCCCCTCAGCCTACCAATAAGCTGGGACTACAGGCACAAGCCATCACACCCAGCTGATTTTTGAAGTTTGTTGTAGAGAGAGGTTTTTGCCACGTTACCCAGGCTGGTCTTGAACTGCTGGGCTCAAGTGATCCACCTGCCTTGGCCTCCCCAAGTGCTAAAATGTTAAATGTATTAACGTAAAATTATTTGCAATATTCCTTTATTTTATTTTTAATGTCAGTATGATTTGTAGTGATATTCCCTCTTTTATCCCTGGTGTTGATACGGGATTTCTCTTTTTTTTTTTTAATAATATTTGGCTTTAATTTTCTCTATTATCTGTCTCTTTTCTATTTCATTGATTGGTATTATTATGCTTTTTTTCCTACTTACTTCACATTTTTAAAGCTTCTTAAGTAGAAACTTAGACCACTGAATTTTTTAATAAACCATCTTTCCTTTTCAACATAGATATTTAAAGCTAAAAATTTCCCTCTAAACACAGCTTGAGCTGCATTCACAAATTTGGGTATATTGTATTTTCATTACTGAGTAGTAATGAAATTCATTACTGAATATTTCATAATTTCAACTGGGTTATTCTTTGACTCTTGGATAGTATGAAAGAGTGTTTTCTAATTTCCAAACATCTGAGGCTTTTCGGCTATTTTATTGTTACTGACTTCTAATTTAATTTCCTTGTGATCAAAGAACATAATCTGTGTAATTTTAATCATTTGAAAATTCTTCAGCCTTACTATGGACTATCTTGTGAACATTCCATGTGCATTTGAAAATAATGCATATTCTGCTGTTGTTGAGTCTGATGCTTTATAAATGACAATTAAGGCAAGACCTTTGATAGTGTTGATCAAATCATCTATATCCTTATTATTTTGCCTAGGCTGTTTTCATACCAGTTAGGAAAGACTGGTTTTAAAACCTTCAGCTATGCTAATGGGTTTGCCTCTATTTCTCTTTAGTAGTCCGTTTTTGCTTCATGTATTTTAAAACCTTATTATACCCATGTGTAATAATTTTAAATGAGCATACACATTTAAAATACAAAGGAGGATTAAATCTTAATGAGGTGACCATCTTTATTACTAGTTACCTTTCTTTAACTCTGACAATATATTGCTTCCAAGTCTTATCTTTCTTGATATTAATAAAACCATTGTTTTGTTATTATTAGCATTTGCATAGTATATGTTTTTCCATCCTTTTATTTTCAATGTACATGTGCCCTTGTCTTTATAGTACATCTTTTATAAACAGCATAGAGCTGGGCCATGCTTTTTAAAAAATTTCATATGACAATCTAAACCTTTTCATTGGGCTGCTTAGTCTATTTACATGTAATGTATTGATATGATTAGATTGAAATCAACCAACTTATTCGTTTTATATTTGTCTCAACTATATTTTATTCTACTTCTCTTTTCTTACCTTCTTTTGAATTAATCAAAAAATTTTTTAGGAGTCTGATTTAATTCCTCCTTTGTATTTTGCCCTATGCTTCCTTGCACTGTTTTTAGTTGTGACTCTGTGGATTACAATGTGCACCATTAATATACTAATGTCTACTTAAAGGGAAGACTACACATTAGGAAGCTTGCTGTAGTGTAGTTTCTCTTATACCTCCATCCTTTGTGCTCTCATTGTCACATATATTGCATCTACATATGTCATAAACCCTACCAAACAGTATTATAATTTTTGCTTTATATTGTTATAGCCTTTTAAATAAATTTAAAGGAAAGTAAAATTATATTTTGTCTTTTTATATTACCCACATATTTACTGTTTCTGTTGTTCTTCATATTTTCCTACAGATCTGAATACCTATCTAGTATCATGTCTCACCACTCTGAAGAACTTGCTTCATATATCTCCATCGTTATTTTCTTCTGTAATTATTTCCTCAAATATTTGTCTTCCCCATTCTTTTTCCTCTCCTTTTGGGACTCCAATTAAATGTATTTCAGATCACTTATTACCTCACAGGTCAAGTACTCATTATTCATTTTACCTACTTTTCAGATTGGATAACTTACACTGATATATCTCCAAGGCTACTGTCTCTTCTTCTGGTATCTTCAACCTCATACAGTAAAATTTTCACTTTACTGTGCTTTTCAATTTTATAACTGACATCTGGTTATTTTTATGGTTTCAATTTCTCTATTAAGACTCCCCATCTGTGCCTTCATTACACTCACACTTTTCTTTAGTTTTTAACATATTTACGAAAGTTTTGTAAAAACCTTCATCTGCTAATTCCAACATCTGGTCATCTCAGTGTCAGTTTTTACTACCTACATTTTTTCTTAACTGTAGGTCATCTTTTCCTATTTCCTTACATACCTAGTAAATTTTTATCATATACTGGACATTGTGAACAAAACACTGTCAATATTCAGAATTCAGTCTTTTTCCTCTGAAGAGTGATGATTTTTGTTCTAGCAGGAAGTAAAAGTCTAAACTCTGCAGTGAGTGACAGCTGACATCTTTGCTCAAATCTTTGAGTTTCCAGTTGCTGTTTTTACCATTAAAGTGTGCATTCACGCTTCAATGATCAGCAGTGAACTGGGACAGGGTTTATATGTGGATGTGGAGTCTCCCACTCTCTGAGCTTCTCTTCTTTCATAGATTCCCTCTAATTAGCTGCTCTGCAGTCCCAAAGTATATCTTCTTAGTAACTTACTAAGACTGAGGCTTTCTGCCACCCCATGCTGCCTGGATAAGTAGGTGTTCTCAGGGAAAAAGCTTCAAACACAGAAATCCCATCAAAGACCCATCTGGTCTCTCAAGGGTTAACTTCCCTCTACCTTCTGCCTGTTTTGGGTTGCTATCCAGTGCCTTCATATAGCTGGTTTTAGATGTTTTGTTTATCATATTTTGTCCGGATTTCATAATTGCTATCTGTGTTAGTCTGATTGTGCCACTCTGCCATTATCAGAACCAGAGCCTTGACTATTGATTTCTGTCTATGATTAATCAATAAAAATCATGAACTACAAACTGTCCAGCATATCTACACACCAAAAGATTAAAACTACTGGCTAATAAATTTCAAAGAAATTATTTTGGCTTCAGGGCCCCAAATTCCTTCATATTTGCAAATTCTATTAAGTAGATGGGGAGAAAGTAAGTTTGAATCCCAGTTCCTCCACCTGATTTTAACTTCTGCACCAAGGAAATACCAAGCTTGTATGTTAAATATAAGTGTGGATTTGGAGTAATGAGTGTAAACACTGAGACAATGCCCAGGATAAAGTCTCATAAAAAGTGGCTTCTGCTGCCATTACCATTAAGTGCTTCTACTGTATTAAATATATCAAAATGAAATTTAAGAAGCTTTACCCTAGAAGCTCAATATTGCTTTCTATTTTATTAGAATTTAAAAAACAGAAGAGTTCCTGCAACTCATACTTTTCTGTGTGTGAGGGGTAGAAGAAGATGAAAGATTTGAGACCAGCATAATACTATAGTACATTGAAAGTGATGAGGATTTTCTCTGAGAGCTTACAAAATAAGGTTCACCTTTGAGATGCTGGTCAGTGTTCCTTTATTATCTGCTTAATGGCTTGGCACCATGAAAATCTGTCCAGCTTACTTCAAAGAGTTTGTTAGACCATATTTGGACTCACCCTGTTTAATGGTTAAGAGAGAAACTTAGAATGGAAAACTCTAAGAAAGGAGTTTCCTATCTTCAGACACAATTATCCAATTCACTTCATAGGTAGATGATTGAGCACTGTCTCAGACTCAAAGTAAATAATTTTCATTGCATCCTTCAATCCTGGATACTTTTTAGAATGTGAATCCTTTTTCTTTCTGAGCCATTGAAGAAAATCAAAGACTTTTGACTTTGAACATCACACAGCCCACAAAAAAGAAAGTTTTGTTTAAAGTAATACATAAAATTAAGCTTAGCATTGCTCCAGAAGGAGGGTAGCAATCTTTCTGTGGTTATAGCATCACTTAGTGGTTATATACATAAAATACTCCTTCTACTCCAAAGCAAAAAAGGGGGGAAAATACATTTTTGAAGAAGCTGTTTATAAAAGAACATCAAACAGAAAACAAAAACAGTAAGAAATCACTTATTCAAAATACTAGATGCATAGTTCTACAATCAGTCACAGGCCAGGGTTCAATTATGCAGGAAAGCAGGAAGGGTTAAATCATCAATATCCATGGATCATATATTCTTACCAAGGCTTCATGATCTTCTGCAATTTCTGGTATCGCCTGCAAAATTTAAAAACAACCATGTGAGAAGCGTACTTAAAAGCAATGATTTTTACATAAAGAACATATCTTGAAGAAAACTCAGGATTAGATTTAGGACAGATTTAACTACCATGAAGTAAAAGAACTTTATCCATTTCAAGACATCATTCAAAGTAACAAACTGGTGTTCTTTAATGATCATAAACAGTCAATCAAAAGATCAGCATTAAACTACTGTCATCAACCAGTTGCATCTGCTTATGAGTAAAGGCATCGAGAACCGTTCATTTAGATCAGAATGGGTCTGTGTTCAATGGAGCGGGGGGTACACACAGGGATAGGAATTGATAAATTTTCAATGAAAAAACATTGAGCCAAAAAGCACTAGACTATAAAGAAATAATTTATTATCTTTCTTTGGTAGAATGTCCACTAATTTTACTTGCTCTGTTCTCCCTCAGGTGGCTTCTTCTGCGGGAAGACGTTGCAATCAATCTCTTTGCAATAAGACACTGCACTAGTATTGAACTCCAAAACTGGAACTCTGGGCTGGTGGCTTAGAATAGGCAAATCTGGCTACAAGAAAGGGTAATTATTATTATTATTATTATTATTTTTTAAACTAGGCTCAAGAATATGAAGAAATAAGTGTTTCTAAACTGCCCAAACCATCTCCCATTCCTCAAGTCTGCCAAATCTTTCTGGCTTTAAGTATGATCTTCCCTCTATACGAAACATCCATCCCCTCTTTGCCCAACTCACTAAGTCCCACCCCCAAACTCATCTCATCCTAGGCTCCTCTGGGAAGTCTCTCTGACTTCTGATTTCTCTTCCTCAGACAGCATAGGTAGTGCCTGCATCTACAGGCCACAGGCCCTGAGGACACATCAGCTATAAGCCTCAGGACATCTCACTGTCCTTCTAGCTGTTTAAGGGCTGGGGCTCTGCACTGTGGCAATAGTGTAATGTGAGGCACATCCCGAGTAGGGACTGACATGGCTGACAAATGATTTTACTCTTCAGAAATGTTCACATTCTCAACCATATAAAATGTACCCACTTCAGAAACTCAAGTCACCAGGTGAAGACTAAATTTAGTCTCTGGTAAAATTTGCGGGAAGAGGATTAAAAATGTATATAAAGAGATCTTTTTCTTCCTTTCCTGCTCCCCCTCCTCTACCTGTCTTTTCTTTTAAAAAATATTTACTATTTCCCACCCTTCCTTCATCAAAAAGGAACTGGGCAGGGTGGAAGGGTGAAAGGGGGAGAAGGGGAAGCAGGCCCGAGCAGAAGTTGGCAGCACGCAAGGGCCAGAGGCTACTCTCCACTAAAAGGAACTGGGGCTCCTTGGGGAAGTGGCTCATGTTAGGGGGTGGGGCAAGGAGATCTAGATAATTCTGGAACATCTTGTTAAGCCAGAAAGTAAAGAAATGCTCAAAACATAATGAAATACAGGTCAAAAGGACACAGAAGTCACCTCAGAAAAGCTCCCACAGGCCAAATCAGGGACACGTTGAGCATCAAAATCAGTAATAATAGTGATAGATTAAGCCCACTGAATAAAACAGGAATGAATGAGTCCACATTGTTACAGAGTGATGTGCTGATGTTGAAATACCAGATCTCTGGGGAAAAACACACAAATCTGCTTGATATTGTTTTCCAATTTCCACGGTGTAACAACTCTCACTACGGCCAACTTAAAGAACCAACATGAGATCAACGAACGCAGAGCGGAACAGAATTGTACAAAAGTGGCTCTCAGGAACTAGTATGAACTCCCCACGGGAGATAAACATGTAGGTGAATAAATACATAGGGAAAAAACAGAGCTCTTACTACCAAAGAAAACCAACTAATACATGTAGAAGAAATAATAATATTCAAAAATTCCCCTTTGGAAATCATCAGAGCAATAATTAATTCAGATAAGAAATGTCAATGCCAAAACTGATGGGTGAAATTCGGGTGAGCAATGAGGCTTTACATAGTTTCACTGTGTCTCCCTACAAACTTTTCATGAATTAGCTGCTAAGGGAGGGAGAAAGTATTACAGTGGAGACACCTGGAAGATGCTATCTTAATGAAGCAGTCAAAGTTACCACCAGTAATAAAACAAAGAGATACCATGTGCCATCAACAGGACAAAATGGGAAAAAAAAATCACAACCATCTGTTGTATTCCAGCCAAAGACATACAATATGGGTCTCCATAAGGAGAAGGGAAATTTTTGTTGTAATGTTTGTTGTGATGAGAGAACACTGGAAAAATGTGTAGAAAACAAAATTCTGTGTTTCAGTAAAAAACTAAGCAGTGCCTACAACATATCCTTTGGGCTATGAGATTCTAGGCCTGTTGGCTTTGAGTTATTTTACAACTCTTTGTAAGGTGTAGGTAACTGATGTGTGTGTATATACATATATATATCCTGTCTTGCAGTGATTTAATTGACTTCCTTTCCACTGGTGGAAAACCAGTTTTGTCTCCATTTGCAATTCATCTCAACATTCCTTTCCTTCATATATATTTGTGCTCTTTTGACCTTTCCTTTAAAGTTACAATATCTGCCTGGTTTCACCATACCATATGAGTAAAATAAATTATTTTAACACACATTTATTTGTATATCTGAAATCAAAATGTAATATAGAGGGAAACCTCTAAATTAAACATTTTACTGGGGAATCACAGAATTGCAATTTGAAGCATACACATAGACCGGTAGACTTTGGTATGTCTGAGGAACAAAGAAAACGTTGGGATTTTTATTAGAAATAGGAATGTTACCTATGGTTTTGAAAGAAAGTTTATAGGCACAAGAATTTTTGAGAGCTGCTAAGCTCTGATTGGTGAGTGACAGTGGTAGGTAAAACCAGTCCTAGAGTTACAGCAGGTCATTTCAGCAGCTATTAGATTAAACTGGTCTTAGGGTTACATCAGGCCACCTTAGCAGCTGGGCTTACAGATAATTCAATTCTTGCAGTAGGTGCGCCATGTGCCCATGTGCTTTTTGCCTCCGTTCCTCAACTGTGACTTAGTTGGGTGTGACAAGAATTACCCAATTTGTATAATCAATGTCCACATCTGTATGAGAGTTATGATTTTACTTTCCCATGAAAATTACCTTTAACAAATTAACCTTTAACAAACCCAAATTAGAGGGTATTCTATAAAATGGCTAACCTATAATTTGAAAACACCAAAGTCATGAAAGAAAAGGAGTGAGTGAAGAACAATTCCAGATCAGAGGGGACTAGGAGGAGACGGGCCACCTGTGTGCAAGGTGCCACCTGGAGCTAGATTCTTTCCACTAAAGGACGGAGCTGGGACAATGGGTGAAACTTAAATGGGGTCTCCAGGAAAAGAGCAAGTGGGGATTTTCTGCTCTGTTCTCGCAAGTTTTAAGTTTAAAAAGGTTTTGAAATAAAATATGTGTGTGTGTGTGTGTGTGTGTGTAATATATAAAGCGGTCGCTGTAAAGTTTTAAAATAACTTTCTGGCCTGGGGCCTGAGCATGCTTATGGTTTTTATACGAGTTCCGCCTCCTCCAGTATCCATGACCTTGGAGAGCTCTCCCTGACCAGAGCACAGACATAACTCAGTGCTGAGTCACAGTGCTTCATACTCCTCAAATTTGCACCCTCACTTTGGCTTCAGATTACGCATAAGGAGAAGAGAAACTGTTGTTGCAACGTCTGTCTACTGCCTTAAGTGGGATTTTGTGTGTCTGTGTCTGTCTGTCTGTCTCTCTCGCTTTCTCTCAGTATACCCATTTTTTTTAGAGAAACGTGACTAGAAGAGAAATTACTCTGGAAAGGTTGATGTTTCACAGTGGCCAGAAACCTCTCACCTCAGCCCAAGGAATAGCAACTTTTCTTTTTTTTTTTCGCCAGCAGAAGATAATCTGTTCTTCAAATGGGCTGTGGGACCCCTTCGCATTTCCATTACCAGAGTGAAGGACAAAGAGGCACAGAGAAAGTAAAAGGAGTGAGGAGGGGGCAGATCCTGTTTAGGGAATTTTCTGCCACACAATCTCTGACAAAGCCCAAGAAGGTTGGCCTCTTTGGCCTTTGTGATGCAAATTTCTGGCAGAGCCCTCAAGAGCTGTTCAGTTGGAGCTCCCTGAGCAATGCAGAGTGCACTGCAGGCTCCAGGAAAACAGCAGACAGCGCTGGGAAGATGTGGCAGCCTTCACAGCTGGGGTTGACTGCAGAGACCACAGGAGCAGCTTCTTTCTGGCTGGGTCTGTCGTCTCCGAGGAGGTAAAGTGCAAAACGTGCATGGCGTCAGCTGGCCTTGGCTGCAAGGCAGTGAGTAGATGAATCACTTTGGCCTGCACTGGAACTTCCAGAACAGCCAAGGCTTCTAAGAGACACCAAGTTCTCAGAGTCAATGGCATAAGTTAGAGCTGATCATCTGTGTCCTTGGAGGTTAACAAAGTTTCAAAAAAGACATTTATCTTTTGTGTGAAGGCAAAATTCCAGAAAAGGTCACACATAATGAAAAACTGTCATACACATCTTTGTGTTATCCTCTATGCACCTCCTCTTACCCCCTCACATGCCTAACCCAGTGTCAGGAGTATGGTTCAGCATTCAGTAATACGCATTTTGCTAAAGGAATAAAACATACAAATCCATCTCAAGTGTGGGTGCTAGGGAACATCAAAGCAAAGTGTATAATTCAAGTCATACCTCAGTTTTCACAACACCCAGAAAATGAAAACAGCTCTGGTTCAGGCAAGATGAAAAGAATTTGAATAGCGAAAGGTTAATATGAGACAGAGGGAACCTGTTTTAAGACTGCTCTTGTATTAATGCAACAATGACAATTTTTATATACATGTCATCCATACACACAGCAATAGACTTTTCCATCTGTGTCATATGTATGACACAGTACGGAGGGGACTAATAATTTATACAATTAATGTTTCTTTTTAAGACAATTATGTAAGAACTTTACATATCACTAAAATAACTATGGGATTCCTTCCAATGTTTCTAATACTACAGCC